CAGCATAGATTTAAATGTAAAGTATTTATAAAATGAATATATATATATATATATATATATATATATAGATGTAGAGAGAGAGAGAGATATTTGCATTAATTTAATGTGAACTAGGGTGATAATGAGCTAATTTATAATGCAAATAATGTAAACATGTATTTATCATAATTAATAAATATTTACAATTTCTTGTGAATTTGGAGGACAACGTATTAATTGATAACGAAAATAGTGTAAACATGCAAAATACATATAAACATAAAAATGTATAATATAAACAGAAAATTAAGATTTCTTATAATGAAATGTTTTAATTTATAAAGTATCTGTCATAATGATTTTTTTTTGTTGCATTGATGTAATCTGAATTTGGGGGGTAATGTCTTAACTGATCATGAAAATAATGTAAACATAAAAAACAAAAATTAACAGAAAATTAAATATTACTTTGTAATTAAATTTCATTGCTGACCTCGTTGGCTGAATTTAGCTCCACGTTAAGATGGAAAATTAATGCGATTTTTACGTCTGTAACTCAACTTTTGTGCTTTTTACATGGTTAGTGCTGTTTGATTTGGGAATGAATCAATATTATTGATCATCAGAGTAAATACTGCAGCTGTAAGTTGAATATGTTGCTTTACGCACAGTCAGGAAGGCAGTTTTCTGGCTCCATGGCCTCTTCAGCCGTCTCAGAGTATTCATCCTCTTCCTCGCCGGGTTTCCTGAGGTCGATCGTGCTGCCCTCTGATAGGCTGGTGTCATCACTCTGAAAACCAGGAGAACCAATCAGATCCCCTGACCAATGAATTTACACATTTGTCACTTATTCCAATTCCTAGAGATTTAAAAAAAACACACACATTTACAAATAAATCAATCAGACTGATGGCTGATTGGCTTGACTTTTTAATTTCTGAATATATATATATATATATACATATATATATATATATATATATATATATGATTATAAAAATACAGTATAATAAAAATAAATAAATGAACAATTGTATTAGTATATCAATAAATAAACTAAAACATACACAAATAAATACATTAATATATAAATAATCTATATTAGTATGTCTATAATAATAATATAAAATAAAAGCAATAATAAATAAAATAAATTAATTAATAATTGTATATAATTGTAAAAATTAGTATTTGTATGTATACTAGTAAATGCTAATTAATATTAGTATATCTATATCTAAATAAATTATAATTATAAAATAATTATAAATTAGAAAAATTAGAAAATCTAAAATAATTAGTGATACAAATAATAAATAATAAACAATTGTATTTGTATTTCTGTAAATAAAATAAATACATAAACAAACAAATAAACACATGTATACAATATGTAAATTCGTATTATAATGTTTATTAAATAAACAAACAAACAAAGTCTAATTCTTCAAAATGACTGTCCATACAATGTCATGTGCTCAAAGGATAATATTCTGAATGCAGAATTTGGCAGAAGAAGCGAGTGTTAAAAGCTTTGTGTGTGTGTGTGTGTGTGTGTGTGTGTGTGCTCGCTCATGTGGGTGTCCAGTGAAATTTAACACCAGAACGGCCCACGGCTTCCACAGAACGATAAAAAGACCACACAATGATTGCATGCTTCACTGCTGCTCTATTGTTCCACACAACTGAGAGAATATGAGACGCAGGGAACAAACATTTAAACACCTGTGAAAGTAAAACTAGCATTTTGTGGCTTGTAGTTCATATCTATTAGACTGTGATGTTTATATTTGATTCGAAACACTGACAAAGAATATGCATTTAAAATGTCTTTCAAAGAAAATGAATCAAAAATATGGACTGAGCACACCCAAGGTCACAATTTAAGATGAAATAAAATAAAAATAGCAAATAAATAAATAAATATTACTAAGTGTATAAAATAAATACATGTATATTGCATGTTTAAATTATTTTCATGATAATTAAACATATTTTCCCACCAAATTCATACTACTTTAAATGTAAAATATTTGTTTTGACGCATAGAATACATAAATATTCATTATGATAAATACTTTACATATTTTATTTTATGCTGAATAAAATTAAAAAGGGCTGTCAAATGTTTAACTATAACCATAAAAATCTACATTTTTTGTTGTTAATTTGTTAACTTTTTATTTACAATACAGTAATTTAGATTTAATATTTTTTAGTTGTAAAATGTGTGCTTGATTGTCATGCAAAAAATTTAATTGTCAAAAAAATAATTGTCATAAAAATAGGCTTCATATTTTTTGTGCAAAATAAAATGCAATGTTTTATCTTGATTTTGCTATCTTTATAAATACTTTACACATTTTAATTTCTTCTGAATTAAATAAAAAATGCATAAAATATTAAATTACAATTTTATTTGTTTTGTTTATTGTGAAAAATGTGCTTAATTGTCATGAAAATATTTTTACAATGCAACAAAAAATTCATGGTCATTAAAAAGGCTTAATTTCCTTTGTGCCAAATGCAATATTAATGCAAACTTTTTATCTTGATTTTAAGGTGAAATATGACCTGTTTTTTCTCTACAATCTATGTAGGCTTGCAATCTTTTGGGAATCGCAGCTCTGGGAATTTCAAGGATTTTTTTTTTAAGTAAAAAAAAAGAAGACAAAAGCAGATATGTGATATTGGCCCATCCGTATCAGTATAATCCAATTTAGCTTCCATTCTCTCTTACCATCCATCCAGCAATCCTTAAACACACCGACATCAGCATTTCCTAAATCACACAGCTGTCATTCAGTCGTCTTCTGACAATAAACCCAACCTTTACTCCAATTAGTGATGCTTCAGGGCTGGTTTTCACTGCTATTGTATGATCTGATGAGACTGAAGTGAAATATGATCCAGTTTTTCTGAGCACTCAATCACTTAATATCGCTGCGTTTTGTCAGTGTCAGAAAGCCTGACGCCCATTAGCGTGCAGCTTTGTTCATCTTGCACACAAACTCAAGTTTGCATGTGGTTCTCACGGCGCATGAGGAATCCCAGCACTGCAAACCGGCCACAAAAGCCCTATAAATAACCTCCTGCAGGCCTGCGAGAGCCTGGATGTGGCATTTGGCGCTGGAATCTAATGAAATCAGAGCCGTTTGAGTGCCATCAGCGGAGCGGCCGTCTAATCACGCTGATTCGACAGAGACTGAAGCGAACGAGTGTCAATAAAAACCAAATCCAAACACTTCACTTCCACCTGCTGAGAGCTGATGTCCGTCAGTCACACAAAAACACATCAATAACACAATCTAATCACATGATGCCATTGGAGCCAGGATGTAGGACACACCGACTTATTACCGGCAAACCTGAGATCCGATCTGTCTGACTGACTGTCGTCTGCCTGTCTGGGCCATACTGATGAACACAAGATGAAAACATTGTCATGCAGTTTCTATTAGAGTCGCATGGGTTGGGGGGAAAAAATCTAATTGTACTTTTTATGATAAAAGCTGTGAATGCGACTTAAAATGCAATTTTAAAAAATCAGGTTTGTTGTTTTATTTATCGTGCAGCCCTAGTTTCTCTGATGCAATATGCAGATGATGTAATCATCTAAATGTCTAAATCATCACAATGTCCAAAGCGAGAATGGCACAAGTAGAGCAATATGCAAGCGAGCAGAAAAACAAACACATCTAATTCTGGCAAATTATGGGTCATCAGAGTTTGAACTATGAGGCGTTTCTCAGAACAAGCTCAAGTCTTCTCTGAAGAATCACCAGGACAGATACACAGAGATGCACCGAGACACACAGAGACATACAGAGACACACTCTAACACAGAGAGACACACAGAGACAGAGACACACCAAGACACTCAGAGATACACTGAAGCACACAGAGACACACTGAGAGAGACAGAGACACACCAAAACACACAGAGACACTCAGAGAGAGACAGAGACATACCAAGACACTCAGAGACACACAGAGACACACTGAGAGAGACAGATACACACCAAAACACTCAGAGACACACTGAGAGAGACAGAGACACACCAAAACACACAGAGACACTCAGAGAGAGACAGAGACATACCAAGACACTCAGAGACACACAGAGACACACTGAGAGAGACAGATACACACCAAAACACTCAGAGACACACTGAGAGAGACAGAGACACACCAAAACACACAGAGACACTCAGAGAGAGACAGAGACATACCAAGACACTCAGAGACACACAGAGACACACTGAGAGAGACAGATACACACCAAAACACTCAGAGACACACTGAGAGAGACAGAGACACACCAAAACACACAGAGACACTCAGAGAGAGACAGAGACATACCAAGACACTCAGAGACACACAGAGACACACTGAGAGAGATAGAGACACACCAAGACACTCAGAGACACACTGAGACATGCAGAGACACACAGAGACCAACGGAGACACACAGAGACACATTGAGACACGCAGAGATACACAGAGACACACTGAGAGAGACAGAGACACACCAAGACACTCAGACTGAAACACGCAGAGACACACAGAGACACACTGAGAGAGACACAGAGACACTCAGAGATACACAGAGACAGAGACACTCAGAGACACACAGAGACACACTGAGAGAGACACACAGAGACACACCGAGACACTGAGACACAGAAAAACACAGCGACAGAGCGACAGAGACACTCCGACACACGCAGAGACAGACAAAGACACTCAGAGACACACAGAGACGGACAGAGAAAAGACATGGAGACATGGAGATGGATGGACAGCAGCAAACAGGAAACTGAGGCCAAACTCCTACACTTTGCCACATGGTTTCCGGGTTTCAGGCTGAATTTTTGAGGAACACAAGCTCTAATTAGGCTTTGACCTTATTTCTGAGGTGAAACTGTGAAACGTGTCATACTAAATCACGCTGTTCAGGATGTGTGTTGAAGAACAAAAACTGGACATCAAGGGATTGTTAGAAATATTGATAAATTATTAAATAAATAAATAATTAAATGTGTATTAATATTACTATATTAATAAATAAATAAATTGTGTATTTTATAATTATATCACACTTGTAATGGACAATGATATTAGTAAACGTGCATAATTAAAGTAATGTTGCAGGTTTATAACAAATCAAGCTCCACCAGCAGCATTTGTGCCACGTCCTGTTCTCTGTGATGGTTAGTTAGCATTATGGCAGAAGCTTGAAGCCGTGAGGTTTCTTCAGGTGAATGTGGAGCGCTCAGGTTTGATGTGATGTGTGTGATGGTGAGGTTGAGTCATGTGTGTCTGCTTGTGTTTGTCTGTCTGCTGTGTTCAGTGATTCAGATGTGATCCTGACATTACAGCGCTGCGAAAACCAACTGCACGAACACACAACAAACACGAAGCCACACATCACACACTCCTCAAACAAATCCCTTAAAGATAACAACACACACAAGTCAGTCAGTAAGAGGAAATGCAAATTTAATTTAAATAATGGCACGATAAATAAATAAATAAATACGTGCACACAAGTACTAGTATTACTGGTAGTATGTCTATCTATCAATCAGTCAATAATTCAATCAATCAAGAGACACACGGAGACACACAGAGACACATTGAGACACGCAGAGATACACAGAGACACACATAGACACACTGAGAGAGACAGAGACACACCAAGACACTCAGACTGAAACACGCAGAGACACACAGAGACACACTGAGAGAGACACAGAGACACTCAGAGATACACAGAGACAGAGACAC